TATTGTGCAGGAGTGGTTTCAAGAACATGAGGGAGACTTTACCTTGCTTAGGTGGCCCCCACAATCACCAGATCTCAATCCAATTGAGCATTTGTGGGATGAAGTTAAAAGAGCCATCAGGCAGCTGGTTCCACAACCATCAAATCTCACAGAACTGGACAGTGCTGTTCATCAGGCCTGGTGTCAGATTCCTCGCATCACCTTTCAACATCTCATGGAGTCAATGCCAAGAAGAATCGCCGCAGTATTGAAGGCAAAAGGTGGCCCAACGAAGTACTGATGGGGTGGTCATATTAATCTGGCTACTCACTGTATATTGAATACTTCACTCACTGTCTATTGGCATTAGTTCTCAGGATAAGCTGAAAGTTTGCCCTTATAAAATATATCCTTTTTTGCGTGTATAAAATATGACAGTGAAGTGTTTTCTTCAAACCTCTCTCTCCTTCCTACCCTCCATGGCTGTGTCTTATCCCATCACTAAGTGATATGGATGTGACTTTAAACTGTATATCACTGTAAGGAGTTGGTTGTCCTCCACATCATTTTGCATGAACATCTTCTAAGCCTGGGGTACCACAGGTGGCTGTGCAGAGCCCTTGGTGGAGGGATGAGCAGCAATCCAGCCCAAGCACTGCTTGCCAAGTCCTGGTCTATGCCATCAGCCTGAAGGAAGGGCCAGCTTTTCCTCATTTGCGCAATATGCTAGCATGGCCCTGTTCTAAGTTTATTCTTTTTCTATACTTTTTTTAAATTGCTACAATGTTTCATCAAACCTATTTCCTTATTTATAATATTTAGCTTTATCTAAAAGCTGCGGAAGCTCTTCCAGCAGTATCCGGCTACCTGTTCCAATAACCCTTGCCTTCTTATTATGAACTGACAGTTTGTAACTATGACAACATGTACTTTATAGGGTAATAGGGCATTTGGTACTTAGCACATTAGTACCTTGATCTCTGGTGGTAATATTAACAAATGCATATATAAAAAAATTAAATACAGTTACTCTAACACTGTCCTTAAAAATGGTAGAAAAAGCACCATTTTACTGGCAATGAATTGGGTGGGTGTCCCAACCTAAAAAAGATGTCACTGCTGGTGTTTCTAAATTCTAGGGGACACAGCGAGACTGGAGGAGCATCGTCACTTCCTTACAGCTCTCAATCATTGGAAGGTAAGCTTAGGTTTAGATGATGGAAACTGATTACCAAGACTGTTATTATTGTTAGATCTTTTTCTGTCCTGGAGAGGTAAAAGTCTCAAGGTGAAGTTGAAAAGACTTCTATGGGTTCAGTTGTCCTCCGCAGAATTCGCACAGTGCTTTGGTCACACCTCCGTTATAATCTTAGGTTGTATTGCAGTTCATTGTTCACTCAGCGGGCTGATCACAGGCCGAGTTCTCTGAGAGTAGGAATGGTGTTTTATCCATCCTCTCTCCCTGGCAGCTAGCACAGTTCCTTGTACTTCGTGGCACTCAAAGTGTCAGTTGGGCACATTAATAAAAAGCATTAAGGGGAAGTTTTTGCTTATATCCATTTTTTTACCACAGGAATTACATAACATAGCCCTTGCATAAGTAAAAATATTAGGAAATATTAAAAATAAACTAGTATTACTCTGCCTTTAGTATCGATATTAAAGTGGGCGGGAACTGTCTGTACTCAAAGGCTACAGGTCAGTGACTCTCTGCACATTTGATTCATACACACTTCTGAATAAACATCTTAAACCATCATGCATTATGTTGGTAATGTAAGCATGAATGTTTCTAACAATTTAAGATGCGGCTAGTCTGTTTCTTTTAAAGATAGAAATATTTGAAAGAAATATATCAACCAAAGATATATACTTCTTTAAAGTCCTCAATTGAATTTTCCTTTTGTTGTTTAGAGTCCTGTGTCAGTGTGCCTGGACTGTGCACCGGCACAGTGCTTGGTGCTGGCAGTATCGGCACAGATATTGCAAATGAAGCTCTGGACTTACAAAGGTAATGTTTCATCTTTTGCAAATATTACAAGAAAAGTGATTATGCTTATAACACCAATATTCCAAAATCAGTGTTTCCTCTATGCAAACAGTAACCAGTTCAACAATATAATGGAAGAGAAGATCACCTTTATGGTAGCAGCAAAACAGATAAAAAGGTATTTAGATATAAATTTTACAAGAAGTATCTAGAACTTCATGGGAAAAAAATTAAAATGCAGATGACTTGAATAACTTTCCAGATACAAGTTGTTTTTTAATGGGAAGACTCAGTATTGTAAGGATGTCAGTGTTCCCTGAACTAACCTATGAATTCAATGTGAATCCAGTCAAAATGGTTTTTTTTAGAATCCAACAAATGGTAGTAACTACATTAGAATATCCAGCAAAATTCTAAAAAAAAAAAAATTGAGACTAAAACGATCAGATATTATATTATAAAGCTATAGTCATGAAAACATTTTGATTAATAAAAAAATAGATTTCAGAAGATAAATGAAATAATAGATTTCAGGAAAGATTCAAACACATATGGAAATTTATTACATGGTAAAAGTGGCATTTCCTCCAGTAAGAGGAAATAGATTAAACTGTTAAGGGCATTATAATAACTCTGAAACCATTTGGGAAAACAAAGAAAGCTAGATCCCATTTTTATTCTTTATACTAATAGGAATTCCAAATAAATCAAAGAGTTTAAAGTAAACCAATAAAAGTATTTTAAAGAGGTATAAATTTTGTAATCTTAGTTTGGATCATCGTACATCCTGAATTCATGAAGAAAAAATATGATAAATTATATAAAAACTCAAAACTTAGGCATAACTATAACTATTTTAACAAAGTTAAAAGAAATTATAAACTGCACATAATGTGTGTATTTCATATGACAAAATGGACTAATCATTTTAATATATGAAGAGTTTATAGTGTAAAGTTATTAAACTCTCTGTATATTTTATAATAACTATATACTAACCTTAATCTGTACTAAACTTTATATATAGTATAAAGAATAAAGTTATTAGCCATTTTTTAAAAATAGTCAATAATAAAAAATATTGGACAGTGGACATGAGTAGAAACAAATACAAATGGCTAAGAAACTAAAAATTGCTCAGCCCCACTCACAGTTAAAAACATATATGTACATACTAAAAGAAATGGCTATTTTCATTTAGAAGGCTGTCAAAGATTTGGATGTTTGATGATATTGGTGAGAGTGTGAGAAAACAGTCACTCTTAAACTGTTTGTGAGGATATATTAGTCCAACTGCTATGGAAGGCAACTTGACTACACCTATCCAAAATGTAAGTGTATGTAACCCTAGACCCAGCAGTTCTGCCCCAGGAGCAAATAGCTTTATACAGCCTTGCAAAGATCTACGAACAAGACTATTCATTGATGTGTTTTTTCACAGTAGTGCTTTAAATATTTAAATACTAGAGTCCTGTTGCACAAAAAGATTTGTGCAATAGGCCTTCCCTTCCCCTGGCTGCCAGCACCGGTTTTCCTCCAGCACCTGGGACCTAGGCCTTCGCTCTGGTCAGAACCGCCTTCAAGCCCTGGCTGCTCTGGCCAGAGCCGCCTTTGAAGCCCTCACTGCTCCGGCCGGAGTCGCCTTCAAAACCCTTGCTGCTCCGGCCGGAGCCGCCTTCAGTCTTCGCTCCACTGCTTTGCGCCATATGCAAATTAACCGCCATCTTTGTTGGTGGTTAATTTGCATATCATGCTGATTAGCCAATGGGAGGTGTAGCGAAGGTACGGTCAATTACCCTGTTTGTCTATTATTAGATAGGCTAACTTGTTATGGCATATTCATACAATGGAGTACTCCACAACTGTTGAAAATTAGGTAGCTCTATAAACGCTAATATGGAAAGTTGTTTAAAGTACATAGTTAATAGAAAAAAAGAACAAGAATAGAACAAAAGGGTAGTGTGTATAATAACCCACGTATATAAGGCAAAAGAAAGGTGTGTATATAGGCCCATAATTGCCCATCTAAAACTCTGGAGGCAATATAAGTTTTGAACTCAGAGTATCTTTAGATTTTAGAAAGATTGTGTTTTGGAATTAAGTTTTTTTTTTTTAATATATTTTATTGATTTTTTACAGAGAGGAAGGGAGAGGGATAGAGAGTTAGAAACATCCATCAGTTGCCTCCTGCACACCCCCCACTGGGGATGTGCCTGCAACCAAGGCACATGCCCCTGACCAGAATCGAACCTGGAACCCTTAAGTCCCCAGGCCAACACTCTATCCACTGAGCCAAACCAGCTAGGGCTGGAATTAAGTTTTTAAAGAGTTATGTGTAATACCTCCAGAGAATATCATGGGCAGCACCCCATAATCAATTAAATTATTATTTCTGCAATGAAGTATTTATAAATTAAATGGTCAGGGAGGACAGGGGAGATTAGAGATTGGGGTATATACATTAAACAAGTTTGGGGAAGAATCATGATTGAAGCTGTTTGGTGGGTATATGAGAGTTCATTATATTATCTACTTTTATATCTGTTTCAAGTTTTCCATAATAAAGCTTAAAAATACATTTTTGGAGTGAGGTTTTGTAAATACATGTAGTGAGACAGAGTGGGATAAAAAAAAAAGAAAATAGCTTCATACCAGTCAGGTCAGGTTTTGCTGAATTCAGATCAATTCAGATTTTGCTGTTAAATGAATTATGGAAAATCTTTCTGGTTTCCATGTGTTTTAGATTTTGAAATTATAGAAAAGGAACTCATAACTGGATGATGTATAACAATACAAGTAATTTGTTCAGACAATTCAGAATTTCTTACCTCCCATAATGGGGCTGGGTTTTGTGGGATGGGAAATATAGAAGAGAGAAATTCTTGCTTTTTATTTTCTTTTTGTGCAGTTTATATTTTTAATTTTTTTAAATTAAAAGTAGTTTAAATTGAAAAAAAAATTACTAGTAAGACATTTGTCATGTCTTGATGGATCCCTGGGTTGCTTCCACCTTGTGGCTACTGTGAGTAATGATGCTGTGAATGTGGGTGTACAAATTAAGTTCTAGTCCTTGCTTTCAGTTCTTTGGGGTATAGACCTAGAAGCAGAATTGCTAGATCATTTGGTAATTCTATTTAGCTTTCTGAGGAACTGCTATTATGTTTTCCATAGCAGTTTCACCATTTTACATTCTCCACCAACTGCACAAGGGTTCAAATTTCTCACCAATGCTTGTTATTTTCTGTTTGTTTTTTTTATAATAGTCATCCAAACGGGTGTGAAGTGGTATCTCATTGTGGTTTTGTTAGTCCAGAGCTTCATTTGTGATATCTGTTCTGATACTACCAGCATCCCTATAATTAGTGATGTGAATCTTTTCATGTGCTTATCTGCCATTTGTATATCTTTTTTGGAGAAATGTCAATTTAGGTCCTTTGCTCATTTTTCAATTGTGTTATTTATTTTTTTGTTATTATTGAGTTGTAGGAGTGATTTGTAAATATTTTCCCCAAATCTCTGGGGTGCCTTTTCACTCTGTTGATAGTGTCCTTTGATGCATAGAAGTTTTCAACTTTGATAAATTTTGACTATATCTCTTCTTTTATTACGTGTGCTTTTGGTATATCCAAGAAATCTCTGCCAAATCCAGTGTCATGAAGCCTCCTCTCTATGTTGTTTGCTGACAGTTTTATAGTTCTAGGTCTTACATTTGGGTCTTGATCCATTTGGAGTTAATTTTGGTATATGGGGTAAGGTAATAGCCCAACTTCCTTCTTCAGCATGTGGATATCCCAGTTTTCCCAGCACCAATTGTTGAAAAGACTGTCCTTTCCCCCATTGAATGGTCTTAGAACCCTTGTTGAAAATCATTTGACCATATATGCTAGAAGGGCTTTTAAAGAACACCTATACTTTTAACCATTTCTTACACTGCATCGCAACACCGTGCAATGCTCAGTGGGGTTGTAGACTGTCAGTGCTGCAGAAAACCCCAAACAAGTGAGGGATACTCCCCATTCTATAGGTGGGAAAACTGAGGCCTGGGGTCAGAGCACTCAGCCCAGTGCTCTTGCCAATGCAGAGCTCCGCAAGTGCCTCCTGAAGTCCCCTGGGGCAGCTGG